TTGCCAAGTTGTCCAGGCGGGCCTCGAACCCGCGGGCTCAGGCAATTCACTCACCTCAGCCTCCCAAAGTGCTGGGATTACAGGCTGAGCCACCGAGCCTGGCTGGTTTTAGTATATTTTTAAACATACTAAATTCAGGAAACAATGTTAAAGACTATGCTTTTGAAAATGTAGTTTGCTTTAAGTTTAAAACACTAAATAGTAGAAATAAATGGGTACTTGAAGTAAATGAGCCTAGAATCACAAATTCCCACCCTAACTCAAAATGTTTCTGATTTAGAGAGAAATAAGTTCATAAAATTTGATTGCATCGATTACCATTTTTATACTGGCCACAGTTTGAATAGTTATGTAGGAGTTTTTGCCAATATTGTATACAAATGAAGGCTTCAAAATATCTGTTGCACGGTGCCTGCATATAGTGGCATTCAATAAACATTTCATTGAACACAGCCTTTCTCATGGTAATAAATTGCTTTCTTTGTTGTTGCTCTTTTTTTGTTGTTTTGTTTTTTTGAATTGGAGTCTCACTCTGTCACCCAGGCTGGAGTACAATGGCATGCTCACGGCCGCCGCTGCCCTGACCTGCTGGGCTCAGGTGATTCTTCCACTTCAGCCTTCCAAGTACCTGGGGCCACAGGCCCGCACCACCACACCAGGCTAATTTTTTTGATTTATTGTAGAGATGAGGGCTTGCCAAGTTGCCCAGGCTGGTCTCGAACCCCTGAGTTCAGGCAATCCTCTCACCTCTGCCTCCCAAAGTGCTGGGATTATAGGTATGAGTTACCATGCCCAGTCATAACATTGTTTTTAACTGTTAAATGGTAAAATGCATGCAAAACTTAGCAGATATCACCCAATAGATGTAAATGGTATATATATACACACACATTAACAGGTGAGAAGATTTTTCCAGTAAAACTTTGGAAGAGGTAAGGAAAGTTGAGGAGGCCACCCCCACCTTAGCACCACATTCTATCTTTTTTTTTTTTTATTGGAATGGTGAGAACTCAGATGTGCTTTCAGATGTCCTTTGGCCAGAATGACTTCTGGAAAGAGCTCAAGATATATTAACAGGTATTTTAGGGAAAGGGTTTGAAAAATAACTCCTCAGCTGTGCAAAGTAGGTCAGCCTTACTGAAAGCATTTCCAAAATCTTGTCCCTGAAGCCAGAGTGCAAGCTGAGGTCACAGGTCTTAGAGCTCTAGGTTACAGAACTCAGAAAGGACCACACACATTTAAACAATGCTACCTCAGCATGCAAGCTACTTGCAATAAAGCAAATGAATTTCTAATTATCTTATTGTAACTTAGGGGAAGTGGTCTTCTGAAAAGTTTGTAGTGAGTTGATTATGCAGTATTCAGTCTTGTTAACTTAAGATGTCAAATGGCACTGACAATTTCTTTATTTCATATGCTACTTTTGTTTTAGTAACAGTAAAAATAAAAAACAAAAATAGAAATGTCTGTGAGTGCCTTTTTAAGAGTCACCCTAGCCAGGCTTGGTGGCTCAGCCTGTAATCCTGTGCCTTGGGAGGCTGAGGTGAGTGAATTGCCTGAGCCCGAGGGTTCGAGACCCTCCTGGGCAACTCGGTGAGACCTCATCTCTACAATATATCAACAAATTAGCCGGGTGTGGTAGCGTGCGCCTGTAATTCCAGCTATTTGGAAGGCCGAGGCGGAAAGATCGCCGGAGCCCAGCAGGTTGAGGCTGCAGTGACCAGGAGCGGCCACTGCACTCCAATCTGGGCGACAGAGTGAGATTCCAACTCAAAAAAAAAAAAAAAAGAGTCACCCTTAGTTCATGTCCCAATAGAAATATTTCTTCAATAAAGTTCCAGTTTCTTTCTCTTTTTACTGTATTCTTTTGTAAAGGAAGCTTAAAGAAATTAATTCTTGCCCTTGGATATGGGAGAAGACTATACTATGCTTTCTGTAGGAGGCATTATATTTGAGTACATTTCCCAAATATTCAGTAGGCATGGGTAACTCCATCAACAGACATGCAACGTGTACAACCAGTGATCACTTCAAAACCACACTTGTAAACTTATCACTGATGACATTAACAAATAACAGGTATGAAGAGGTTGGGTACAAAAAAATGCAGGCAGTTCCATGTGTTTTATTTAACCTGTTTGAAATTAGGTTTAGCATATCTATAGCATAAATCATGAAGCAAATCAGATATTTTGAATTTAACATTGTGCATAACAGAGTCATAAGAATTATATTTATTTGAAGCACTTTTTTTTGAGTTGGGCTCTTACTCTTTCACCTAGACTGGAGGACAGTGGCACGATCATGGCTTACCACAACCTTGAAATCCTAGGTTCAAGCATTCTCCTTCCTCAGCTTGCCAGGTAGCTGAGACTACAGGTACAAGTCACCATGCCCGGCTAATTTTTTTTATGTTTTTGTCTTGATGTGTTACCTAGATTGCTAGCAAACTCCTGGGCTCAAGCAATCCTCCCATCTCAGCTTCCCAAACTGCTGGGATTACAGATGTGAGCCACTGAGCCTCGCTGGCACTTATCTTTAAATCAAAGATTAAAAGTTTGTAAATGCCCCAAAATTGTTAACCTTCTGTGAGGACTCTGAGAAATCCTTGAAGACATTACAGTGAGGAGCTGGAGAAGGGAATAAATAACCTAGAGGGGCAAAATGGAATTCTAAGATGACACAAACATAGCCCATAGAAGAGAGAGAAAATTGACTGAAAAAGTAAAAGAACAGGAGAATAATATAGGAATTATGTAACAGAAGGGTTAGATTCAAACAACCCCAAAGCTATAATCAAAGTAGAAGTTAACAACATTTCAAATATGTATAATGACTATAAGTACAATTCTAGAGCGCCATGTTTAACACATCAACACATACAATATTTTGTTCTCGATTTTAAAGATTTTCAAGAATATTACATTAGTTATGATATATTTCCAGTGAATAATTATGTCCCCCCAAGAATACTGGGCATTAACTGGGTCTGGCAAATAACTTACTTTTGAAAATGGAACTCTTCCTTAGATACAGGAATAGGCTGGGTTATGATTCTTCTTTCTTTTCAGAAAGCTGTTTGATTGTGAACAGTGGAATTTTTTTGTTTTAGTCAAATGAAGGGTGTGCACTTCTCAGACCAGGAGTTACCTGGCTGAATGTCTTGATGCAGCAGGACTCAAAGTGTCCTCAGAAATCAGCAGTAGTACCAGCAACACTCCCAGGACTTGTTAGAAATGCAGATTTTCTGGTTCCGTCCAAGTCCTACTGCATCAGAACTCTGAGGATGGAACCCAGCATCGTGTGCTTTAACAAACCCTCCAGGGGTTGTTGAAACTGAAGAATCATGTCCTAGCAGGTAGCACTTACAACTAAGCTAGTCAGATGCCAAGACAGATGGAATGATTACTTATGTGTGGTGTGTTTAAAACTCTTTATGAAACACATGTGAAGACAAATCAGAAGGCTTCTCTATGAAACATTCCCTGATCACATTAATGAAACGAAAGTGGGCTGAGTGCATGGTTCAGGCCTGTAATCCCAGCCCTTTGGGAGGCTGAGGTGAGAGGATTGCCTGAGTCCAGGGGTTTGAGACCAGCCCGGGCAACTTGGTGAGACCTCGCCTCTACAATAAATCAAAAAAATTAGTTGGGTGTGGTAGTGTGTGCCCATAGTTCCAACTGTTTGGAAAGCTGAGGCGGAAGGATCACCTGAGTCCAGCAAGTCGAGGCTGCGATGGCCATGAGCATACCACTGCATTCCAGCCTGGGCGACAGAGTGAGACTCCGACTCAAAAAAAAATAATAATAATAATAATAACAATAATATTAAAAAGAAAGGAAAGTTGCATTTCCTCTATTATTCTACTGCTATGGAAATCTCCCTCAATTAGGAGGCCCAGTTTCTTATTCATCTTTGCTTTTCTTGCAGTGCACAGCATGTCACCCAGTAATTGATATGTTTAAATGCTTCAATGATAAAATTTATTGGAATGACTGTCTAAAATAAACAAATATGGGACAATGTATTACGTTATGTTCAAATTCCTATTTTGGAGTGGAACTCAGACAAATAAAATAATAAATGGTGACATAGAACACACAGGAGAAAGGGAAGAAGTATGGAAAGCACTAGATAAGAGGAAGTATCGGAAAGATTGAGGGGTGTAACCTACCTTTACCTCTAAATGTTGATTTTCCTTTGTTTTTGTTTTTGTTTTTGAGTTGGGGTCTCACTCTGTCGCCCAGACTGGAGTGCAGTGGCCGCTCCCGGCCACCGCAGCCTCGACCTGCCAGGCTCCGGCGATCCTCCCACCTCAGCCTTCCAAGGAACTGGAACTACAGGCTTGCGCTACCACGCCCGGCTAATTTTTTGATTTATTGTAGAGATGAGGTCTCGCTGCCCAGGCGCGTCTTGAACCCGTGGGCTCAGGCAATTCACTCACCTCAGCCTCCCAAAGGCGCGGGATTACAGGCTGAGCCACCGAGCCCGGCTTGATTTTCCTTTGTATTGTGGTATGTGCTCAAATTGCTTATCAGTTATATAATAGAGCCGTAGCAATATTTTTCCAAGAAATTTTCTTTTTTTTTTTTAATTGAGTTGGAGTCTCACTCAGTCGCCCAGACTGGAGTGCAGTGGCCACTCCCGGCC